ATTTCAGATAGAATTCATGACACTAACCTGCATCGATTTCCTCAATTTCAAGAAGAAAACCACGGAAATGAATTGTACTATCAGTGTCAAAGGTTAACCAGATCTGCTCTGTAGAAGATGTCCAGAAGTCCCACGATATGAAGTGACCAGACATGTGATGTACAAGTGAATCATCATCACTTGGGTTTGACCCTTCACCAATGTCTAACCAATCAAACCACCCTTCTGTTGAAAAGTCACGAATGTGGACAAGCAGAAGTTTTCCAGCACCAGAAGATCCTACGTGCCATTGGCAGTGCTAAAACATAAAAATGTTAATTAACATTAAATAATTTGTTTGCATAATAATAACTAATATTTTTTGATTATTTGTTCAGAGACATCACGCTGTTTGCTGTATTTTGAAAGGAACATTCATGCACAATCTGACTAAAATTCACACTAGCTCTGATTGCTATTAACTCCAATCAGTGGTATGTTTCATCTCTAATGGCAAACAATTATGCAAATCACATTCAGACAACACTCCTTTATTGGGATGTGTCACCCAATTACATTAAGCCTTACTGAATACTACCCTGTATAGCAAATGGTGATTGGTTGCTGATTGTATGAGATCTGGAAGCAATTTACAAGCTTTATTACTGTTTGTATGTAGTCAAAGATGGAGCACAGCCACAACAACCTACAAGTAAAAATCTGGATGGGCCAGATAGTTGCCCATGTCTTCATTTCTCTTCATTGAGGGAGTGAAATTGACAGAAATTCAAGGGGCTTATGCAACAAGGACAACAGATCCAAGTATACAAATATAATCAGAGGCAATTTTTCGCAGATTGATATTAATGAATCCGCTATAAGTTTATCTGCAAAGATTAACACCATATGACACTCACCAAGTTGTGATCATATTTTTCCGGATAGTCGGGTGATGATATTCTGACAACTGTGCCTTCCTTTGTTGTGTAGTTACTGCCACAGGGTTTCTCAGGTTCCACAGGTGGCTCTGGAGGCTTCACAACTATAAATCAACAATGCACAAAATTAGATATCACTAGTAGCGAGGACATTCACAGCAAAATCATTTTGAATTGGTCGAATATATACAAGATTTTATGCATCTGAGAACATGGGAAATATTCCCAGCACTGCACTTGTGCTTGAATCCACCTACAAAATTTAAGTACCTTCATGAGTCTGTGCTTCAGCGGGTCCAACATAAGGCATTAGGAATCTAGGAGTAATGGCAGCAACGTAGATTACGTATGTTGTAGAGCTTTCTAAGTTTGACAGAAATGCTTCATCAGTATCACCACCATCAACAACCAAGTAAGTATACCCTCCCAACCAATCATATCGCCTATATCTAACTCTGTAGCCAATCACATCACAGTTGAAGTCGGATACTGTCCAGGTAACATGAATATCATAGGGTGATATACCAACAGCATCAACTGCCTGTACATTGATGTCTTCTGGCCATTCAAATTCTGTAAGACAAATGTCAACAAAGTGATAATGTTACAACTGTATTTTCTCTAATATAATTGTATTTGTAATAGAAGCACACATAAAAATTACATTTTTTGTATACTGGATCTTTAACTTTTTCAATAATAATAATAAAATAAGTCTGCCCTTTTTCAGAACCAGCCAATTTTTTGGAGTAAAAACTGAAAATTGACTCAAATGGTTTCATTGGTTTTGACAGGTTGTACTGTACAGTATAAAAACACCCTCTCTGCTACCTCTGTATTCATTGTTCAATAACTGCTTACCTTTTGGAGTAATTTCACATACATATGCATGGTTTAGCATACACTCCTCATCATAGAATTCATTACTTCGAGCAAGACCACAATCTTCATAAAGACCACTCGATGGCTGTCCGCTTCCCCACTTGGATTGGTCCCATACCGAGGCATCTCTACAATTGACCCATCTCCATCGGGCTTCAACTGACAAGTCGGAATAACCTAATTGAAACAAGGGAATACAGTCATGTTTTTTTTCAAATACGCTATATTACTCATAGTTTTGTTATTTATTTATTTATATTTTATATAAAAACATTTCCTCAAGTCAAAATTCAGTAAATTTGTTAATTAGCATGGAATCACTGCCAAACACAAAAAAGTAGACCCACTCTTGAGCCCAAAAGCATGAAGGAGCAGTACTAACATTTTCTGTGGATCATTCAACATGAGAAATGCGTGAATGGGATTTCAATTGTCATTCTGTTAAAATGATCCGATAAATCACAGAAAACAACAATTTTTTGGTTAAGTGAGGTCATAATGATCTGTTCGTCTTAGTAGTTTCTGCGTATCATAATGTTCAAGCGGTCGCTGTACGTGCGTGTCTCGAATATTCAAAAATCACCTATGACAGAGACTGATTCAGAGTGCTCAGTTGAGAATGGTCTAGACACACTGGGATCTAACTCTGATGCAGTCAGGCCAACATGGATGTGCATGATTTTTCTTTTGACAAAAATACAGTATAACTGTAAACCCCTATAATTTCACAAATTTCATATGGCAGTGAAAATTGGGGAATTTTGTAGCATGGAAAATCTCACTGGGGTTCTACAGCGACAGAGTGACTTTCACTGGGGTCTAAGGAAACAAATGTTCAAAAATTAACTTACCAATCCAGTAATTCAAAGTCATTTGCGCATTGATGAAATCCAACTCTGCCTGATCATCAATTATAACCAAATCACCGTGAAGAGTAGATAAACAGTCCTCTCTCGCTTCATCCCATGATTTGGTTGGCACGGTAACAAATTTGTAACACTTTTCTTCTCCATCAACAATGTGATAATCATAGCCTGTTGGACCTGAAGATACAAAATATTGTTTAGTTTCACAGTTTATTTAATAATGTTTATTGCATAGAGAAATATATACATGTACCTCAAATGCCACAAATAGGAAGCCGTTGATTATATACCCTAGAATACACTTACAAATGGCTTTGTATGTAATATTGAAACCAGTGTCCACATTTGTTCTATCACTCACAAATCTAAACCAGGTTTCACTGCTGTGCAAGACAAGATCTTCTGGTAAGTCATAACCAGTGAAAAACTAAATAAGAAAATTAAAAGAGAATAAGTATTACATAAAAAAATCATTACTACTCCAAAATAGCAGATGCTTGGAATTAAAGTCTAGCCTCGCTGACATTGATATTATTCTAGATATTTACATATACTGGGTAATACATACCAGATAGTAGTCTGATGTGGGATCATTGCCATAACCAATGTACAGGAAGTCATGCCCCTCCTCAAGTCTGAAAGCATGGAATGTGACTTTGATATCATGGCCATCTGATATCTTAAGAAACCATACACAGTTCGCATTGTTGGGATATTCAGCGGGATGGAATGGAGATAAGATTTCACCTTCAGAGTCTGTATACTCCTCAGCTACACAGCCATCTATGGGTATACAAGATATGATTATATTTAATAGTAGACAAGTATATATAGATCTGTATTTATAGATTTGATGTCTTTAATGTTTGGGACAGGGCTGTATGATCATCTTTCTTATTATAAAGGCCATTTAATGTCCTATCTTGGCAACAATCATGCCCGGTTGAGCACTAGCACCTGCAGACCTTAACCAAGGTTCTTCCAAAGTCACATTCGTTAATGAATGAATCTCAACCAGTGGAAAATGCATATTTCTTCATAAAACGGATCCGGACATTTTTAAAACAATGGGAGATGCGTTCAGGACCATTTGACCTTTGCAGCTGTGTGTAAGAATTTTAAGAATCCACCAACAATTAGGTGAGTTACAAGTAACTGAATGTCTTAGTATATACCGCAAATAGTTTTTGAATATATAATGAGCAACTTTGAAACGATATTTCTCGCTGTTTTTTTCAGGAAGGGCATATCGCTGCGTTTCGAGCGATCATACCACTTTGTGTGTTAACAGTTTTGTTTTTGTGTTCAGAGGTGCCGAAACGTGGGATAGCTAGTGTCATATACATGATATCTCTCAGTGTATCAGCATAAGCCAGTTATCGGTAAAAACTGAGGGTGTGTTATTTTTGTTGTGCTCGTCTTCATAGTACGTGTTATACGTTCATAACTATCGTCCTCAGATTCACTAAATTTTTGAATTTTGGTGTGGTCATGCAGGTAATAAGAATTACATAATATGTCTCGCGATGTATCGCAATAGTTGATTGGAATATGAATAGATCTTGTGTTATTTTAAGATTAATTTTTATCTAATGATAATCTTTTGTTCTGCAATGTTATCTAATTTTTATCTAATGATAATCTTTTGTTCTGCAATGTTTACTAGATATGATAAGAACTGATAACTTAAAAAAACGTGGCACGCATTACTTCAATAGAAAGCGCTGCGTTTCCTGTCTGTTGTATTAGTAGTCTGAGGTCTGTGGCACAATCACCCAGGGTAGGGGTTGACCCAACGAAATATTTGAAATTCTGCCTAGTGATCATGAATCTGTTGCTACAACCACTATGTTGCCAGTGAAATTCACCAAATATTATGCAAATTGAGTTCATGCAGATATTAATAAAATTATACTCTACTTAAGTTATACTCTATAGAAAATTTCTGACAGTGGACGTCAGGCAACTTACCATCATAGAAGATTATCTCAAAGCCTTCATCATTCACTGAGGCATCAGTTTCAAATGTCATCCAGAGAGACTCTGAACCGGTGAAAAATGCATTTGGATCTACTTGACCGGAGATATGAACAAACCTTGATGCAAAATCTACAGAGTCAGATCCTGAACCCATATCAACCCAGTCATGATTTTGCTCTAAGAAGAAAAAAGTTTATAGGTTCATTTTGTTAGTAACTAAACAGAGGAAGTTCTCTTTCAGAATAATGCTTATCGATCTTATCTGCAAAACGTCTTTTAAATTTTTAAATTCATCCTTCATGTATATTTTTGCAATACTCCCTTGAACCTTTGAATGCCAAATTTGTTTTCCCGATTTAATTTTCACTAAATTCAATATTAATTTTGAACTAAACAGACAAAATGTGACATTGCTTATAATTCTTTAATAAACATTTCATGTGGAAAAAAGCAGACTATAAATGGAACTTTTTGTGAATGGTGTCAAAGTTGACTTTTGCACTCACAGGGTTAATAACCTCATATTATATTTTTTTTACAACACAAACAACGTTATTTGGTACATATGGTTCTAGAGAGTAATAATAGACCGAAAAACTAAAATAGTAAAACTGGAAATTTCAAACTCAGATGTGATATGTACGAATAAAAATGACTTATGATTACTTGGATTCTATTTACCTGTTCTGAAGCCCTTGATTTCTACTCTAATAGTGCCACCATTCTCCGTAGTAATTATCCATTCACAGAAATAGTTGTTATCGTAGTTACTTTCCGGATAGCCCGGGGATCGGATAGTAATAGACCCACCACTTGTAATAGTATGCTCAGAAAAACAATCTGTAATACAACATAATTCCATACATATTCATATTAGATCACAAAAAACACTATAAATTTAAACATATGTTGATAGAATAACAATCCTCCTGAATACATGCACATCTTAATCTCAATGTTGCTTATCCTGATTTTGCGAGGCAATCACAATGCTAAAGATAAATATAATATATTTTTTTACACATGTTGGGTCAAAAATAATGCAATGTATGATAATTTAATATCTTATCCAGGCATAAGTCAAGTATAATCGAATACAGGCATTTGTGGTTCTTAACAAATGTTCCCCCAAAGTTGCGTCCATTAATGAATGAATCTTTGCAAATGGCATTGACCCCCCCTCATTGAGTCTGTCACATACAAATCCTGGTACTGGATTTTAACATGGCACTACAGCGGGATCAGCACAATAACTACAAAACTATTAACATAAATTGATTTGAACTAGTCTCCAGTAACCTCAAGAACATTAATTTGGGGAACATTCTTGCAGATTAGCAAGATTACGTGTTGTCAGAATATTGGCAGAATTCATGGTATTACTGAAATACCCAAGTCGTCTGGGTTATACCTTACACCAACTTAGCGAAGTTATTACCAAATTAATATTTCCCAGACTTCTTACCATTGTCTCTGAGTTCCACATTAAATCCCTTGTAGGTAACACTGTGGTCACTGACAAACTTCAACCAGACTCTATCAACATCTGTAGTGAATGGACTGGGAACTCGGCTACCACTGTTATGTCGTAGAAGTGACTGAAAATTTGTAATGTCATGTCCTCTTCCTATCTCCAAGTAGTCATATCTAAACAAAAGAATGACATACATAGTGGACTGTTGTGCATCATCAGGTGTTGAAATTGCCTGTCCATTGAGCAGGTTGGAGAATAAATGTGCTTGTCCCAATTGATGGTGTACCTCTCTCTAGTACATTAAGATAAATTACGACATAATATTTGAAATAAAATTATCATTCTTGGCTCATCATTATTATATGAATCTTGAAAACTATAAAAGCAATTTTCTTGACATGAGTAACTTTGAACCAGTCCATTTGGTCAGTAAGTCAGTAAGAAATTTATATCTGTATTCACCTGTCCGTTGGGACAGCCATTTTGCACTTGTAACTGTCCCAGCTAAAACCATTTCCGCTCTTCCCCTTTTAAAGTTTTAATTAGCCATAGTGCCCAAAAAATGAAAACTTTTCTCTACCATGCCAATAAAACAATTATTCTATTCTATATACACATGTGTATAGCATATTTATCTTATAATAAAAAGTGAATGGTTTAGAATAAGTGCACAAATGTATCTCTATATAACAAGCCACGCATAGTACAGTCCCTGTTAGTTATCAAATTTAAGATAAATAGTTTTGTTTATAGCAATATAGTTGGAACATAAACACGTCAGATGGCCATCTTGAATCAGATCATGAAACAAATTGATGTGCACATGTATAATGTTATGTATGATGTATGTGTGAAGTTTGAATGTGATGAACGCACGGATGCACGAACGGGGACTAATAATTTGAAGGAGAAGACACATACCTCAATTCGGTTTCAAAGTCATGGTACACTATTCTAATTCTATTGCCTGCTACAGATGTTACAGTCCATTCACAATAATCATTGTTGTTATAGTTTTCTTCGTAATTGGGTGAGGTAATAAATATAGGATCCTGCTCTATATCGTGATGACCTCCACAGATCACAGGTGCAGTAGTGGCAGTAGGTGCTGGCTTTGGAGGACTAGATTCAGCTGAAACAGGTAAATGAAAAATGGTTAACAAAGTTTAATAGTAACTTTGACTATTTTACAGTTTATCAACAGTTTATTCACCATTAACCTATTCAACACCAGTTCCCTCCTTTCTTCACAAATTCACAAAATAGTCTCGCTTATAGTCTGAAGATTGGGACAAAAAATAGGCAAATTTTTTGAGTAAAAACTGACTCAAATTTTGTCTGTTGGTTCTAACATTAAGGTTCATTTCCAGAAATATTGGTTGTTGCACCAGTCTCATGATCGGTAGACCCAAGTTCAAATCCTACCTTAGACTGAACATCAAAGGGTCGACCCCCTACCCTGGGTGAGTGTGCCACAGACTCAATGGGCAGGCCAATTCCACTGGCCAAGATTCATTCACTAACGAATACGACTTTGGGGGAACCTTGGTTAAGGTCCGCAGGTGCTTGTGTTCGACCGGGCCTGGTTGACACCAGGATAGCGCATTACAAATTGCCATTTGACAGAGAGATGGCCACACAGCCCTGTCATGTAGTCCCAAACATGAATATGACTTCTGTGGCAAAATGCACTATGTGTCGTCACTAGCACTTGTAATTTGCACATACAGAAAAAAAGTCAGGAGAGACAACAGTGACACTTAATGTCCGGAACTGTCGCCTAGCACAAAAAAAAATAAAAAAAAAAATAAAAAAAAATAAAAAAATAAAAAAAGAATATGAGAAACAAAGTGCAAACAAATTTAGGTGAGAAAGTATTTTTTTATTATTTTATTATTGGAATGATTTTTGCAATGAGAAAGTTTGTGCTTGACAATGATTATAAGTTTAACTCAATTATTTAATATTAACTTTCTAATTACATACTGTAAAGAAATAAATCCTTTACTTTATTAAACTGCCTGCACCTTACGCCATAAGAAATTGAGATTTAGAATATACATTCAAAGATTACTTACTGTCGTTCCTTTCAACTATCACCAGGACAAAACCTCTCTCAACAATGGTAAAGTCTGTGTAAAAGGTCACCCATATGTCAGCACCAGATGAATAAAATGGTGGAGGTATACTTGAGCCTGATTCATGGCGAACACGAGAATCAACATCGGTTGGGTCTAGTCCATTTCCAATGTCTACCCAATCAAAGTGTTCCTCTGTTAGAAAGTCTAAAAAAACTACAGACATTGGTAGTCCCGAGTCGGTTGTAATGTTCCATTGGCATCGTTCATTGCGAGAATAGTCTTGCGGATAATTAGGCGATTCGAGAATAAAAGTATGGCCTGGTTTCACAATGTAACTTCCACCGCAACGCTTTGGTTCTGGCACATCTTGTACAACGTAAAAAAAAATGCATATCAGTAAGTTACTAGTATATAAAATATAATGCATTTATAGACGCAAGGTTTATGAAAATTAAATTTGATTCAAAATTCGTTGGTAATATATGACCACTATCAGACAATTCAAAGATATTGAAGAAAACTTGATTTACTGACAATAACAGACAATCACCAATACCAACAGCTCCGCAGTAGAGCTAAAAATGACTGATGGGGGTCAAGGAATATGCAAATTATGGCTGCATGCCAACTAGATTATACAATGTGAATTGCTTACCTTCTGTAAACAATGTGTATGTAAGATGAAACCCTTCACGGTCGACTGAATTGTCAGATGTAAACCATAGCCATGCTGTCAACTTATCAGTGATGATTTCCTTTGGGATCTCAGGACCGGTCAGTTCCTATGAATATCAAACAAAATGCACTGAAGAATTACAAAAAAAAACGACTTCTAGCAGGTAACTATGCCCATTCTCAACAATGGCTGTAACCCACAGTCGTGACCATGTCACAAAATCAGGTGATCTATCACACGTCAACCTGATTAGGAATCACAATCTTGTATTTCTAGCTAACACGCGATCGCATACATCAGATTGTCACATGGTCACATCATCTGTTTACATATTCGCCAACCAGCATAGAAATGTTTGATTACAAATTTCAGTCACTGATCAACATTAGCTTGTGACATAAGTAGTTTTATTAATCATGAACACATAAAATTAATGTGAATTTGATATCACTAGCAGTGGGTATGAATGACTACTTAAGCCACAGTCACTATGCGGGCACATGTAAATAAGTGTGATGGCCATATAACCAGGATACTAGCAGCCAACAATAATTTTAACCTTACTATGAGCTTATAAAATTGTATACAATCAATTCAATTTAACTCCGCCATGGCCGGTCCCAAGCCCGGATTAGAAAGGAGGAGGGTTGGGTGTGGGGTTAGCAACTCCACCCCGTAAAACCTTCTACACTACAGAAACCACAATTTTGGCAAGACCTTCACCATCATACGTATTAGAATTGATACACACAGTCTCATATATCATTTCTCATTCAGAGAAACCGTACAAGACAAGGAATTGACTTACAGCAATGACTGATGAACCAGGTATGAGGCCATTACCAATTATCAACCAATCATGGTTTCTTTCTAAATGGAAAGCTGAGAATGAGATTTTGATTCGCTGGCCACTCTCCATAGTCATGACCGGTGCCTGTATGGTCCAGATGCAAGAACTGCTATGTGGGTATGGATAGTCTGGATACAGTGGGCTTGAAATGGTACCAGGAATTGTATCCAGATGACCTCCACATGGATCAACTGGAAAAGAATTACAAATAGTGTCAGAATCGATTTTATTAGACTGGTAAGATATTTAAGTCAACAAATCATACCACACACAGAACCTGCATGGAAAATATAAAATCCTTTGAATATCAAGTTCACTTTTTACAAAATAAAACCATATATTAAAAGACCTTTTCTATACTAATGTAGATATAAATAATTTTAAACCAGACTTCTTAATCACCAAGATTGCATGATGGGATACTATATTTGTTCCTATTGTTTAAACAACTAATTTGCCTATGACTTCTAGTTCTCTTCTTTGTTTGAGTTACAAAAATAAACTGAACATTAATCTAACAAACAACCCTGTGCTTTAGGAGACTGAAAACATTAAGAAAATACTAAGAGTGCTTACCTGCAGAAAAATCAATATCAAAGCCTCTCCGAGAAATTGAATTATCACTGGTAAACAAAGCCCACACTCCGTCATCTTCAGATGTATAGGAACCAGTGACCAGTGAACCAGATAACCTGAACACAGTGCTCGAGAAATCAACATCACTGCCACCTACTCCAATTTCTAGCCAATCAAAGAACCTTTCTGTTGCAAAGTCATTGACTGTCATCAAGATGTGCTTGTTAGCTGGTCCGCTAATAGTCCATTTGCAGATTTCATTATTGGAGTAATGTTGTGGGTAGTTTGGTGTTTTTATGTTCACTTTGTCTCCAGGAGTGTCACCAATGATCAACGCTTGCCCACAACCTTATGAAAATAACATGAGATATAAAAATAAAGTGAGTGGAAGTTATAATATGAACTGGTAACCCCGCTTGTATTTTATTATCATAATTATAACAAAAGGAAACACTCATTGCTACTTTTAATTTAATTAATCCAGGCAAAGAAAGCTATTGATTGTGACAAAATAGTTTTCAGTAATGAAAAAATACAATTTCATGAAAATAAACTAAGTATTCACTATCAAATAAAATTGTTAAGAAAGCAGCTGAAGGCTTCGTCACAGAAAGATTGATACTTTACTGACCTGTTGGTCCTATATCTTTCACAATTAAATGAAATCCCCTTGCAGTGATAGAATAGTCTGTAGTGAACAGCATCCAAGCTTGGTTACTAACAGACTGGAATGATTCAGGGTCAATACTACCAGACAGATGCAATTCTGATGTTGTCAAATCTGTGTGGTCCAGCCCATTACCAATATCCAGCCAGTCATGGCAATACTCTGTTTCAAAGTCAACAAACTCAATTTCAATCCTCCTTCCAGGTACAGTTTCCACTTTCCACAGACATTCCAGATCATTGTCGTAGTCACCAGGGTAGTTTAAGGAGTAGACGTCATATGATTCATCCTCTGTTAATGTGATGTTACCGCCGCATTCTGGTGCTAAGACTGGTGGGTCTGATGGGTCAGGTTTCTCTGTTGGCACAGGCTCTACAGAAGAAAAAAAAAAAAAGTTTACAATGAAATGCAGGACTATCCGAAACAGCCATATAGATCATATGCAACACATTTCAAGCTACAAAAACATCTCAAATACAAAATAATATGATGTTATTACGATAATATTGCAAAGTATGGACAAAGACAGTACACCAGGAGCATCAACCGATGCGCAGTAGAGGTCAATGTGACCGCGTTCTATCTGAGTGCATATTTTGAGGTATCCACGTAATAACCTTATTATTATACATAATGTATATCTTTTCCTCCTAGGAATACATCATGGAAATGCCGAAACCCAAAAGATTTAGAAAAGATGTAGAAAACTTCTTTGTGTGGAGTCCTGTCAAACCCTGATGAGGGCAGCCATGTTTGTTTTTTATTATTATAGGAAGATTACATGCGTAATAAAAAATAGCCAGTGGAATACCGCAGAATTATGCCACGCTGTAACTTATGGTGTTATGGTGACAGGCGTATAATAATATTATTTCAGTATTAATTGGGATCCATAAAATAACTTTCCTCTCAAGACTAATTTTCTAAATGAGTGGTAATCATTATGAATCCCATGAGTGATACATGTGTGGGTGAATATATTGTTTATTGTTTTCAAAACTGGAATTGCTAGCACAATGGTGACCACTATTTTAAGCAATTAAGCTACAATAATTTATGACACCACACTGAAATAGAAATAGGATAAAATAAATCAATTTAAGCTGAGATGTAATAATTGTAAAAAAAAACAAAAAAAGCAAGCAAGACAATAAAATCACGATCACAAGATTTGCAATCATGTGCACAGATTGAGGTAGGTTGTTTTAAGTTATTTAGAATACTGTAAAAGTATTAATTAGTTGCTGGTTTTTAATTCAACAATTTAAAATTAAATCCACCTGAACACGAAAAATAACAATAGAGTAAATTGTTTTTCTGCCAAATTTGTGGACATCAAACCCAGTGAAATGGTTTTACAGTGTGCACTTTGTAATGTCTGCATCCAATGTACCCAGTATGTAGACATCCACATGAGTTTGTCTTACCTCTCACATTTTCCACAATCTCCAGCATGAAACCTTTCCATGCGATGGTGTAATCTGTGGAAAATGTTATCCAGACTTCATCTGTGGATGATTCCCAGTAGGTCCAGGGTAGAAAGAATCCAGACATGTGGTGTACTCTGGAATCAGAATCATCTGGCTGTAAACCTTCACCGATGTCAACCCAGTCAAATAAATGCTCTGTTCTCAGATCACGTAGATACACTATAAGTGTGTTACCACCTGTTGATGCGTTCACTCGCCATTCACAGATCTATAAAATATTCACAAGACAATGGATTAAAACAAATGTCATCGAGTGAAACATTGGTTGTACTTTTACTGTGTAGAAAGACAATAATGATACATTATGCTACATACCTGGTTGTTTTCATAGTTGTCAGGATAGTTGGGTGATGTAATCCGTAATAGACTGTCAGACTTTGCAGTAAGATTACCTCCACAGTCTTTAGATGGTTCAGGCAGTGGAGAGGGAGGTTTTCTCACTGTCGAGAACACCATTCATAAAATGATTAGCTGATGCATGAAAATACATGTGTGTTGAAAATACACCAGTTTCAGGTTCCAGTTAGAACAGACTGCTCAAGAGATTTATAATAAATAAACAGCACAACAAAATAACTACTATTCCTCTTACACATACTAGAATGGGTTTGGACATCATCAGACGTAACACAGCCTTGAATCATTGCACAATGATATTATAATCTAACTTACCAAGTAAACCAATATTTAGTATATCATTTACCAGCATGGGTTTGGACAGGGTGAGATGTAACAAAGTCTTGAATTGCACAATAATATCATAATCTAACTTACAAGGTAAACCAATATTTAATATTTCACTTACCAGCATGGGTTTGGACTGGATCAGATGTAATATAGCCTTAAATTCCAGATGATATCATAATCTAATTTACCGGTACCAATTAAACATTTAATTTTTCACTTACCAGCATGGGTTTGGACAGGATCATATGTAACAAAGCCTGGAATTGCACAATGATATCATAATCTAACTTACCAAGTAAACCAATATTTAATATTTCACTTACCAGCATGGGTTTGGACAGGATCGGCAGGTACATAATCTAACAAAACGTCACTAGTATATCCAGCAACATAGGAAGCATACCAGGTAGATGATTGCAGACCAGTAAGTGTATATTCACTACTATCAGCACTAGGTATATCAACAATGTAGATTCCACCAATATAGTTCAGTCTATGATATTTCACTCTATATCCAAGTATATCACATTTGACTGGAGAAACGTCCCATGTGACATGTACCCGAAATGGAGAGAGTGCTTCAGCATCAACATGCTGAACATTTTGGTCATCCAGTGTGAAATCTAGAAAGAAAATCATTTTTAAGAGAAGCTTTTACGTGTCAGGATCATTTGTTATAAATCAGTTAGATGGATCCTTTATTTAAACCGGTTGTCCCAGGGTTGACTGATTATCTTCCTTTAATTGTGAAAAGGTATAACATTACAATTTTTAAAGTCGGTATCAACGTCATCAGTAAATTCAACTTATTCTTTCTTGTATTTACCTAGTAAGCTATTAATAAGAGACATATTGAGTTAGATAATTTGGCTCTCGATTAACACAGATGTTGGCTCTGTGAATAAGATAAGCTAGCTTTAAAGGTCAGTTAAATGATAAGTTGCACTTGGAATGAATGAAAGCATAATAATAAAAATGCAACTTCCACTGAAATGAAAGCAAGACTAATTTTAGAACTCACTTTTTGGGCTCAGTTCACAAATATATGGCAGCTCTGTATGACATTCTCTGGCACTCCATGTGTTAGAATCAGTCACAATGGTACAATCTTTTTCTGCAGTATTACTTCCTCCATCAGCCAGGTTTAACTGCCAATCTTTCGGGTCAGAACAGTCAATCCACTTCCAGATATCTTCAACCGATCTGTCAGATAAACCTTAAAGACACAGATGCAGATGATGAATGCTAAAATTTTGAGGTAACACATATTGTTAGCATAAAAATAATTACAACTACAAATCCTATTACAACACATTCTGAGAAACCTTTTAAAAACCATTTCCTTAATCTGGAATTCAAATGTATATTATCAATGCAACTATTCAGAAATGTAAAATAAATATAGCCAATCTATACAGCAGCATATGTTATGTTGATTGACTTGAACACTGAAAATGTTAGGACAAGAACAGAATTGAGAATGTGTATTATACTACCAAGCAATTACTTATACACAATTATGAATCCCCTACAGCACCATATTGTATTGGATGAGGAGCAGGGGCTATGGCAAAATAATGTGTGAGCCAAAACCAGTATTTAGACCTTTTTTCAAATCCAATATGACGCTGTGGGAGATTCATATTGGTTGTAAATCACCTCCATCTGAATTAAACAAATTTAGTTAAATTTGGCAGCTCTTTGCTGAAATAAATTGACTTACAAATAAAGGTTTACATTATCATGTGATTCTGCAAAGCTATGATGTCATAAAACCTCTAATTTTGATTCGTCAGTGATACTAGTTTAATAGCACATATATGTATTATACAAGAAAAGTGAATAATGTGAAATACTTTATTTTCGCTGGAATAAATTTTCTTGAAAAGGCTTTTTGGTTGTTTTGTATGGAATTTATTTTTACTGATTTTTGATGAATTTAATGTGAAATATAGGAAAAAAAGTATATTCACTGGATTTTATTTTCACGGAATCATCCCTTCAGCAAAAATAGTGAAAATAAATTCCAAGCGATAATAAAGTATTCTACAGTATACATAATATACGAATGTTACTTTGGTAGAACCTTGGCTAAGAACTCATCTAAGTAAACATCACCTGACATGAAAATTATTTTTTTTTTAAAGTTTGTTTTGATTTGCTAAAAATAGAAGACTTACCAATCCAGAAATCAGTTTGATTCATTCTTTGCAGTACATATTGATATTCGTCTTCTGTCTCTAGTATTACCAAATCTCCATTTGTTGTAAGCAAGCATTCATGCCTGGCATCATCCCATGGTAGGGGATCATAGACATATCGGTAACACCTACCACTGTGTCCAGATTCATAACCAATTGGACCTAGGAAAGTAAAACAGATAAAAATGATACAGTATTCTATATATAAAGTTATATACTATATTTCAATGTTTTTTGATCAAATTACAGTAAATCAATCATATAAATTTCATTCATTCGTTTTATGGTTGTTAATCACCTAATACGAAGATGGGCGCATGTTGGAAATGTTCTTTTGAAGTCGCCACAGGACTCATCAGCATATTGTTTAAGAGAATCTTTGAATGGAGGAACCAAGATTTCACTTGGAATTTATATTTTTTTAAATATTTTCACTATAACTACGGTATATAACCTACATACTGCTAAAATACATCTATTGATATCAAGCATTTACCAGTAAATACTAACCATGGGAAAAAGGGAAAAATACACACATAAACTTACATTCAGCCTCATATGTGATGTTAAACCCAGTGTCCACTACCGTCCAATCACTCTCAAAGCGAAACCATACTTTATTGCCATCACTGATATAGTCTTCAGGCAAATCAGAGCCAGTTAATGTCTGTCAAATACGAGAAGTTTATGTTATGGAAGATATACAAATGACATGAAATGAAATTATACATCACTAATAGAGCCAATGCTTGCACATACCTTTGCAAAGAGTTTGTATGATACATTGTATATGAATTAGCCAACATTTATAAGAAGGAAATTGTAAGATAAACGGGTGGGCCAGCCTTTATGACAAGAAATTTGTAAGATAGATTGGTGGGCCAACCTTTATGAGAAGAAAATTGTAAGACAGATGAATGGGCTAGCCATTGCAAGAAAGATTTTCATAGAAAATACACAACAGTCTGGTGCCACATAAACTATATATCTCAACTTCATCCACCAATCATAAAAGAATTTTTTCAATAACTTTCATCCAAATCAGTTGGTGTGTGTGAGAAAATTTACAACTCAATCACAGAACTCAGGAAAAGTCGATCATGAACCCAATAAACAAAACTAAACTTACCAAGGTTGGTGTACTGTACGGGTCATCACCTTCACCGATGAATAAATAATCTCTGCTTTGTTCTAGACTGAAATGATGGAAAGTCAAACGAATCTGTCTTCCTTCTTCCTGATTCAATTTCCATATGCAGTGGGAATTGTGAGCATACTCACTGGGATAATTGGGAGAAGTTAACGTTCCCGGGAAAGTAGAACTTTCAACTGTCATACATGCATCTGTGAACATTATATATAAGAATTATTGAAACTATTGGATTCCTACTATTACAAGTGCATATTACTTGTTCACATTCATGTTGTACACATATGTATATACGATTTCTGCTGGCCTTGTGCATAATGTTGGGTCTTGCTAGTTATAGGTGATGTATAACTTTAATTCAATATTTAATACACCCTCCAAACTGTTGTATTTAATATTCCAGTCAATCCTAGCCATCCAAATAGTTATTCAATAAATAGATGGCTAGCCTATATCTGGATGAATTTGTTAGAATACAGTTGACTTTAGTCTAGTCTAAATGTTCTTTCTGTTAAAATCCTAAACTTTTACCAGACACTTGAAAAGTGTTCAGCACTGTATGATATGACAACACATTGTATTACTGTTATCTTTACTGAAGGAAACAGCAGCCACAGTAGCATAACGCACTGTCTATGCTCACTGGTTTAAGCTCATTGTTATTACACACCATCATAGAAGTCAACAGTGAAACCATCTCCATGTCTAGACCCGTCTGATGAAAATGACATCCAGACGGTGCTGTCCAATGTGAAGAACACCTCATCGGCGTGGTTACCAGAAGCTTTCAGCAGACGGGTTGACATATCTGTTGGGTCATTTCCCTCACCAATTTCAAGGAAATCAAAATTTTTTTCTGAAAAATAAAAATTAGTTATACAAGCCATGCATGGCACAGTCCCCGTTAGTTATCAAATTTAAGATATACATGTAGTTTTGTTTATAGTAATATAGCTGGAATATAACCATGTCAGGAATATGATTTTTTAACATTAAAATGATTGATATTTGTATCTGATCGTCAAACAAGTACTTGTTCATATTGAGAGATATTGGTCTGGAACAGCATTCAAAATCAGCCATTTTGAATACATGTATATATATAACATGATGTATAACGAATATATAAAATTTGAATATAATCAGTCAAAGCATTTAAGAGATATGGCTCTAAAAGCCCAATCATTAAAACAAAATGGCCGCCAGTCAGCCATTTTGAATCCAATTTGAAAAATAATATGACGTGCATCAGGAACCCGTAATGTCTAATGTATGTACCAAGTTTTAACAAAATCCATCCATAAATGCCAGAAATGCTTGATATTTGATGATTTTTAGCACAAAAATGACCACCATTCGGCTATTTTGAATAGGATCATCAAACCAATATATCTGTTTATCTATGACATGATGTATAATGAATATTTAAAATTTGAATATAATCAGTCAAAACAAGTCGGAGATATGGGTCTAGAAGCCCATTCATTAAAACAAAATGGCCGCCAGACAGCCATTTCGAACCCGATCTGAAAAATAAATGATGTGCATCAGGAACCCGTAATGTCTAATGCATGTACCAAGTTTGAACAAAATCCATCCATAAATGCCAGAAATGCTTGATATTTGATGATTTTTTAGCACAAAAATGACCACCATTCGGCTATTTTGAATAGGATCATCAACCAATATATCTGTTTATCTATGACATGATGTATAATGAATATTTAAAATTTGAACATAATCAGTGAAAGCAAGTCAGAGATATGGCATGAGAACCACATTCATTAAAACAAAATGGCCGCCAGTCGGCCATTTTGAATCTTATCTGAAAAACAAAATCATTTGCATCAAGGTCCTATAATGTCTAATGTATATACCAATTTTGAACAAAATCTATCTGTAAACAGCCAAAAAATGCTTGATTTTTATAATTTTTTAGCACAAAAATGGCCGCCATTCAGCCATCTTGAATCAGATCGTAAAACAAAATGATGTGCATCAAGGTTCTATAATGTCTAATGTATATACCAAGTGTGAACAAAATCCATCTGTAAACAGCCAAGAAAAGCTTGATTTCGATGATTTTTAGCACAAAAATGACCGCCATTCGGCCATCTTGAATCAGATCATGAAACAAATTGACGTGACATGTATAATATCATGTATGATGTGTGTGTGAAGTTTGATTGTGATTGGTCCAGGCATTTCTAAGATACAGGTCCGGGCGCACGCACGGACGGACGCACAAAACATAAGTCTCTGTTTTCTTATAACACAGGGCATTTTACGCATATGTTCACAGTCTCAAACTCATATTCCAGCTCCAAAAGCTACACGTAAATAGGATAGCAATACATTTCATTTCTATGTAACTTGATGTATATAACATTTAAATACATTTATATCATAACAACATGCTAGTATGTCTCATATTGTTATACATATCACTGTAAGCTATCAGAATACCATAATTATGCAAATCAGGTAATTATTATGCATGGATTTGAGTGTAAAACTAATAAGGTCTGCGCAATGTCACAAACCATCTATGTACCAAGTTTCATTGAAATGTCATTAGAACAAACAATTATGAAATATTATGCTGATTAGGGAACTAATATGAACAGGTTTTAACCTAAAACTGACCAGGTCTGTGCATTGTCAAGGAGCATCTATGTGCTAAGATTCATTGAAATGTGATGATCAGTACTTGAGATATCAGTGGAAAAGCTAAAAAATGACTAATTATGAGTATACCACACAGTAAGCACTCACAGACAGTATATTGTCGCATTGACCTCTGCTACATGTCTTTGTGCATATATCGTGCATACTTTGCGTATATACTTGAAAACAGTATAGTGATGCCAAAAACTGAGCCACACAGATGCCTGTCATCTTGGAAACATTACATAATCACTTCTTTTTGAATTTGTATGTATCAAATTTTTGGAATGCAGGTACCCCCAATTGATGCCATATATTATGACAGGTTATAACACTGACAGATGCATAATAAAGAAATTTCATGTGAAAACAAAAACCAAGATTTGCCTTGCGAGGGCGCTAACATCATTCTTTACTAACCAGTATCTAATAAGACTACATGGACACGAATATATTGGTCAGAGTCAGATGAAATGATCCATTTACAGTACTCATTCATCCCATATTGCTCTTCACTCTCAGGATACTGGATACGTAGACTACCATCAGTCGATATACTCTCCACACTGCCACATTCTGTAAATAGAAAAAATATATTATTTGGTAGCACTGACTTAAAAGAATGTTGTCTTTCAACAGAGAGTTAATGATAACACTCTACTCTGTATTTCACCCACCTTCTGGCACTTCTAACCTCAGATGAAATCCTCTGTGTTTGACGGTTGAATCAGTGATGAACTTGAACCAGATGTCATTGTTTACTGTAGTAAATGGTGATGGCAGAGAAGATCCAGAATCTCTTCGCATAGATGCATCATCCACAATTAATCCTTGACCAATCTCTAAATAGTCCCATCTGAAATGTCAAGGACAGAAACTGACATCTTATTATGATGTGTCATATTATTGCTTTCCTTTTGATTATGTGGTTGATTGTCAGAGACAGAAACTGACATCTTATTATGGCATGTTATATTATAGCTATTTGGTCATGTGGTTGAATTTCCTGTGTGAACACTTTTGAACACAATTCACAGTAATTGATAAAAGAAAATATTATCAATTACAGCCGCCTATGTAGTTGCTTGAAATTACTTTTAATTTAACTTTTAACTTTACAAGTTTTAACTGATTGTCTAATTAGTGTTACAGTACTGTTCATGCTACGACACAGGTAGGTGTGTAGCATGAATTATTAGAATTATGAGAATAACAGTGGTATATAAAATAACAGCTGTAATTGGAAGACACTGTAACAGTTTTTTGAAATGTCAATTTTACGAAAACCTTTCACATTTCAAGCATATTTACTGCAAATAAAATAATAGTAATACAAACTTATAGTTATATCATCGCAGATGGGGCTTTTGTCCTATAGCACAGGTGGTGAAAGGACTAATACAATGTACTCACATTAGTTCAGTCGTGAAATCTATATAAGTAACAGCAATTCTTCTTCCTGGATCTGCACTGACAGTCCACTCACAGTGCAAATTGTTATCATAGTCTTCAGGATAATTCGGTGAATACAAGTCTATGGGGTTGTTGTTCTGTAGGTCAATATGATATCCACATGGTTCGGATGTAGTTGGTGTGACCGACGGTGACACTGATGGCTCTGTTGGAGTTGGCTTTGGTGGTGATGTTTCAGCTGAAAAAGACATGTTTAATCAGTTTTATTTATATATTAACATTATTTATTAATAACATATTATGGCTGCATAATAAATGGATCGAAAAATCAATGAAGGATACAGTTGTATTAAGTGTTTACAAGCCATTCATGTTCCCATGGGTATCACTTCAGACCTTCAGTGAGTTTCAAAATAAGTGTACATGTGTGCAAGATCTGGTTTAAGACATTTCAAAACGCCTGATTGTAGTGCATTTTAAAAAATTACAAATGCCCAAATCCGGTTATGGACATGTCAAAAAACTGATTTTAGTGTATAACAACAAATATGGCCCCCACTTTGCCAAAAGATTTTGGTTTGAAGAGAATTGACAGAGAAGTTTGAGATATACATGTACAGCTCTGGAAACATGCACACTTCATTTCTGGCAAGAAACAAGCAATTTTCCGATAGCTCACAATTTGGGTTCAGTAACCAATAGGAAGCTAGCATACATGTATATTTAATACTTTGACAAAAGTGTGAAATACAATGTACTTACTGTCATTAAACTCATTAATCACGAGTTGAAATCCTTTAAAATTAATGCTGGCATCTGAAGTGAATTCCAACCACATACTGTCACCTTCTGACAACACTGGTGTTGGCATGATAAAAAACAGACCAGACATGTGTCTGACTCTGCTACTTTGATCATTGGAATCTAACCCATCACCAATGTCTAACCAATCAATTCCTAACTCAGTGGCAAAATCTCTGAACTGTATTGTCATTTTGAGCCCTGATTTTGTTGTAACATTCCACCGACACAGCGAGTTTGATGGGTAGTTTTGTGGGTAGTTTGGAGATTCTATTATCACTGGCTGTCCAGACTTTACGATGTATGCCGCACCACATGGTTTGGGCTCAGCAATATCTGAAAACAAAATAAATATTCAATCAATATGCTGTACAAAATCAACTATGAATGTGGATATGTGATTGTTAAATTTGAACATGTGATAATTTAATATGGATATGTCATCTTTAAATACTGGGAACTGATTATTATATATGAGCATGTGATCTTTAAATTTGGACATGTGATTAAATATTGGGAACTGATTATTAAATATGGATGTGTGATTATTTAATATGAACATGAGATTATTTAATATGGGCATGTGATTATTAAATATAAACATGATCCTTTAAACTGGACATGTGATCATTTAATATGGACATATGATCATTTAAACTGAACATGTGATCATTTAATATGGACATATGATCTTTAAATATGGACATGTGACTGTTAAATGAACAAGTGATTACTAAACATATACTTTGGATCACAAAGAATACCACTCAAAACAGACTGGTTACATTATTCATGAGGCAAGGAGCATACCTTCAATGTATCCTTGATAAGTGAGAGAGAAACCATTGTCACTGACACTATTATCTGAAGTGAATTCTATCCAGCTTTGATGATGGTAAACAATAATATCTTTGGGTAGATCACTACCAGACAGTTCCTGTAGTGATGACAAATATTCCATCATTAGACTCCACGAACATGAATATTCATATTCAGCTAAGCAAAACAGCAGTTACGATCAGTTGAATGCAACCAACCCTAATACTAACTATAACCCTCACTCCAAGCCCCCAGTTCAATTGGAAATGCCCCCTAGATAACTATAATAGGTGACCGTAGGAGAGATAGTATACAATTAAATTGGGAAATGCTTGAGGATAAAAGGAACTCATTCTGAAAATGTCACGGCTACAAGAAATTCTGTCACCTTTTCCACCAATGGCTATTATTCTGAGAAAATGGACATCATATGAAAAATGACTTAAAAAAATGTAAATTAAACATTGAAAACACAATAATTGTGTCTATGCCCAGAAGACTATACTTACATAGTACTGGTAGTTGTTAGGAATCAATCCTTCCCCAATCCGGACATAATCGTAATCTAGTTCCAGAGCAAACTGGGAAAACGATATCAATATTGACATGTTGTTTTCAACACTGATTTTCCAAGTGCAATCACTTCCATGAGGATACTCCATCTGTGGATATCCAGGAGATGTGATGTTCCCGGATATCTCAGTATAGTGGTCACCACATGGATCAACTGTAAATGAATTGAAATAAATAATGAAATCAGTAGATATAAATTTTTAAGTCAAGCCATGATTTAACAGTACTGCTTTGTATCAACCACTACCATACAGCACATTTCTCACCCAAACTCTACTACATCATTTATTAGCAGTAATGATTTACAACATCACAATTCTAAATTCTAAATGTCTGTTTATTACTGTGTGTATTTTTGCATGCTGTATAATGTGCATTAATTATTTTAATCAAAATAACATGACGGAACTTTGAAATAGCTACATGCAATTTTTAAATTAGTGAATTTGAACTAAGGCATGAGAAACAGAATCTAAAGTAACGTGCTGGCTAAAAAGATATGTTTTACAGCACTTGCCTTCCACTTAAAAATACTACTTTGAAGAGGATTTTAACAGCATAGCTTTCCTTATCACTTGTATCACTGTGTTCAGGAGAGCCATTTTTAGCTCCCATGTCATTTCAAAAAGTAAATGCATGTAATGGCATGACTTAATTCTTCATAATAATATCAGTGGCATACATGGTTGTATGTCAAGAAAAGTAATTTAAATTGGGGATGAATGCATATACATGTGTATGACTCTGAATTGTTGCAGTTCATGCCATTGGAAAGTTTAAATATTTCTCCAGAGGGCATAATCACTACATTTGATAAACTTGACACCATCAGTGATTAATTAATTACCTGCTACAAACTGAATTGAATATCCTTCTTTGCTCACACTTTGATCAGTGGTCCACAGTACCCATAATGCATTGTTGTGAGTTGCATATGATCCATCAACGGATCCAGAAAGACGATAAAGAAGAGTGGAAAACTCCAGATGATCGGAGCCAGAACCAATCTCAAGCCAATCATAACCTTTTTCAGTCTCGAAGTCATCAACAACTGCTAAGATGTGTTGGTCAGATAATGCTTCGTCTAGATTGATGGTCCACAGACAGTAGTCATTGTGATTATAGTCGTCAGGGTAGTTAGGTGATACTATGGTAACACTATGGAGACCATCTTCTGTGATAGTCAATGTACCACCACATTCAATATCTATGAAAGAGAAAAACAAAAAACTATTAAATTTGCATCGTCAAATTTTATTATCGCATGAAAGTATGATAAATTGCAATATATAACATATAATTATATAACATATATAAATATTTATATGGACATATTACCAATCAACCTTACAGTTAGTAAACAATAAAATACAGAATCTAAATACATATTTATATATGGCAGGAAATGTCATAGACATCATGCATGTGTGAACATTTCATGCTATTTTTAAATGAACATGCTTAACCATTTCTAACTTCTTTTACAATATTACAAATCTATTCAAATTTTGTATAAAATAAACAATGCTTTGTTTACATCGCATGAGACCCACACTGAACACAGAGTATCACGATGAACACCACTATTATTAAAGCGAGGGGAGTCGTCACCTGCACATGCGTCAGATGGCCATAGCATGCCATTGTTTACAAACAAGCGTCTACCCATGAGCCTTTGCGATTTTAGCGTGTGTTGTTATCGTCAATTGGGACTCCCATGCATACACAGGTGACGACCCTCCCGCTTTAAACATCAGAGTTTGTTTTTGTATTATCACATACCATTGTCATCAATTTCTGTCAGATTTAGTTCAAATCCGCGTGCTGTGATGGAATAGTCTGTAGTGAAAGTCAACCACATTTTGTCTCCGTCCGAATCAAATGGCTCGGGGGACAGGGATCCAGATAAAGTCAGCTGACTCGTTGTCAGGTCAGTTTCATTGTGTCCATCACCTAATACTAGCAGGTCATGGCAGTATTCGGTCTCAAAATCAACAAACTTTACATTAATGCGTTTGCCACTCTCAGACATCACATGCCACACACATGACAAATCATTCTTGTAGTTCTCAGGATAGTTTGGTGATAATATAGTTGCTGACCCGCCAATAGGTATGGAAACATTTCCTCCACATATCTCCTCGTCTATTGGTTCGGTTGGTAAAGGTTTTGGCTCAGGCAGTTCTAAGGAATAAGAAAGATATAACTATATTAGCAAAAGATATCATCAGAAGAATGAAGCGGAGACAAAAATGATCGATGATCCGCAAGCACAAAACTACATTCTGTTTATGACTAGTTGTGAAATGTTACGCCAACTCTGATTGGACGCATGCTTTAGAGGCATTTCAGTGGAATCCTAAACACGTTCGTGAGGGAGTATGTTGACATTTTGGACGATGAGCAGAAAGATGGTGACAGTGGAAAGGTGATGTTTGTTTATTTTCTTACCAACAAAAATCTCTTCAAATTCTATTAGAAATCCTCTTCGATGGAAAGTAAGGTCACTTGTGAATGTCATCCACAACTCACTGGTGTCCGAGTTCCAATAATCCCATGGTTTGAAGAATCCCGATAGATGGTGTACTCTGGTATCTAGATCAGTGTTATCAGTGCCTTCACCAATGTCTAAATAATCAAACCATCTTTCTGTAGAGAAGTCTCTAAGATACACAGCAATGATAGACCCAGATGAAGCAGTAATCAACCACTCACAGTGCTGTGAATATATACAAACTGCATGTCAGAGCTTTGCAGATTAACACCCCCTAGCCTTTTCACCACCGGACTTCCTCGCCCAAATTTGTCTACACTTTTTTTCTTCTCGTAATGAACCCTCATTTTGAGGCCAACAGTTTTTTACTCAAAAATGTGGTTGTTATGGTCTCAATCATTTGAAAAAAAGTGTAGACTATAAATGGGACTATTTTGTGAATTTGTGATGAAAAGAAAGAACTGGTGGTGAAAAGGCTAGAGGCCAAATACAGAAAACAATATTATTGTATGTGATTGGATAAAAGTGAAACATTGCTATGATGAACCCAGATGAGACAGTAATTAACAATTCTCAGTGCTTTGCCTATGGAAAATGAATGTGAAAGCTTTGCAGAATAGCACCCTCTAGATGCTCTAAACAATAATTGTGATAGACGTTTAATACTCACTTCATTTCTATCATATCTGTCTGGATAGTTGGGAGATATAATCCTGAGTAGTGAACCATTCTTAGCTGTATATTCACCTCCGCAGTCTTTACCTGGGTCAGTGGGCGGTGGTCTTGGTTTGATAACTGGAAACAGAAAATTCATGAATAATTTAAGCCACACAAAACGAACTGACACTTCGGCCTTATTAACCAATCTGGTTGCAATGGAAAAAAAATAATAACTTTCAGAGATTTCTAAAGAAAACCAGATATAATCTGTTTGTGTCTGTTGTCCAACAATCAGTTACAACAATGACGTGCACATGAATTCACATAAATTTATTCTTCACCATGGCAACTATTCCAGGAAAAGCATAGCTGTATGATGCTAATATCAATATAGTTTAAGTCAAGGGATTTTTCATTGACTTTTAGATTACTACATAGCAGTGATTGTATGCTACAATGTAAATTGTGTATGCGTGAAGACTGTATGCAAGGAAGGACAAACAAACAAACAGGAAATGTACACCCACCAATAAAAACAAAGATAAACGACCAATTTGAAATGACATGTGGTTTAAGATAGTCATACCTCGTGAACCCAACTGAAATGTTCACTTTTTTCTGACTATCTTAAATACTGTACATTTTACGGTCCCCATTCATTACCTTGATGTGTCTGCACAGGATAACCTGGTACATAATCCAACACACTACGATGCGTATAGGCAGCAACATGCATCATGTACCATGTAGAGGACTCCAGATGCTGCAGTCTAGCTGAGGATGTGTCAGCACCAGGGACGTCCATGACCCAGACACCACCGACGTAGTCAGTACGATGGTACTTGACTTTATAACCCAGTACGTCACAGTTAACTGGTGAAACCTCCCACCATACGTCAATTTCTGATGTTGATATGGCGTCTGCATCTACGCTCTGAACGTTCTGGTCATCATCAGTGTAATCTGGGTTGGAAATAA